CGCCCCCACGCGGGCGGCTCTCCTTTACCTCGCTCTCCCTCTTTCCGAAGATGCCGAACTCCCGGCGGACCGCAGCGCAGAGGGGGCCCGTCTTCTCCTGATGCGTGAGTAACCCCCAGCCCGCGCCGCGTCGGCTCCGCCAGCCCCCCGCCCCCGCCGCCAGTCCCCTGATTTTCCCACCCCCTTTTTGCGCAGTTAAAAAAAAAAAGTAAAGCAGTTTCTGCTGCGAGCCCCAGACGGGCGGGCGAGCCGCCCGCGATCTCTTCGAGCTACCCCAGGGGAGGAGGAGACGGGCTGGATTTAGTAGGACAACTCGGTTCCTAATGACTCGGCGGCTGGCTGCGACCCGCCGGGAAATCAGGTGCCAGCTTGTGCGTTCGGGGACGCGTGGGTGGGGGGGTGGGCGCGTGGGGGAGGGGAGGCGAGAAGAAACTGCTTCGGAGGGCGCAGTGATTTCGAGCCGCCGGCCCCTCCGCCTCCGCGCCCCTCCGCCCCTGGCCGGCCGCTTTAATCGGGCTTCCTTGTGTCTTTGTCCCCCGCGTCCTGGTCTGCCCCACCTCCCTCCCCCAGGCTTGCCTGCAGGTACCTGAGCTGACACCGACGGTGCCTAAAGATGCTGAGCGGCGTTTGGCTCCTCAGTGTGTTAACCGTGGCCGGGATCTTACAGACCGAGAGTCGCAAAACTGCCAAAGACATTTGCAAGCTGCGCTGCCTGTGCGAAGAGAAGGAGAACGTGCTGAACATTAATTGCGAAAACAAAGGATTTACAACTGTCAGCCTGCTCCAGCCCCCCCAGTATCGCATCTACCAGCTTTTCCTCAATGGCAACCTCCTGAGCAGACTGTACCCTAACGAGTTCGTCAATTACTCCAACGCGGTGACGCTCCACCTAGGCAACAACGGGCTGCAGGAGATCCGGCCCGGGGCCTTCAGCGGCCTGAAAACCCTCAAGAGGCTGCACCTCAACAACAACAAGCTCGAGGCGCTGCGGGAGGACACCTTCCTGGGCCTGGAGAGCCTGGAGTACCTCCAGGCTGACTACAACTACATCAGCGCCATCGAGGCAGGGGCCTTCAGCAAGCTCAACAAGCTCAAGGTGCTCATCCTCAATGACAACCTCCTGCTGTCGCTGCCCAGCAATGTGTTCCGCTTCGTGCTGCTGACCCACCTAGACCTGCGTGGGAACCGGCTCAAAGTCATGCCTTTCGCCGGTGTCCTGGAGCACATCGGCGGCATCATGGAGATTCAGCTGGAGGAAAACCCCTGGAACTGCACCTGTGACTTGCTTCCCCTCAAGGCCTGGCTGGACACCATCACGGTTTTCGTGGGTGAGATTGTCTGCGAGACCCCGTTCCGGCTGCACGGGAAAGACGTGACCCAACTGACGAGGCAAGACCTCTGTCCCAGAAAAACCGCCAGTGACTCCAGCCAGCGGGGCAGTCACGCAGACACGCACGTGCAGAGGCTGTCACCCACCCTGAACCCTGCCCTCAACCCCACCAGGGCACCCAAAGCCAGCCGGCCCCCCAAGATGAGAAACCGCCCGACCCCCCGGGTCACCGTGTCGAAGGACAGGCAGAGCTTCGGCCCGATCATGGTGTACCAGACCAAGTCCCCCATGCCCCTCACCTGCCCCAGCAGCTGTGTCTGCACCTCTCAGAGCTCTGACAATGGCCTCAACGTCAATTGCCAAGAGCGGAAGTTCACGAACATCTCCGACCTGCAGCCCAGACCCACGAGTCCAAAGAAACTCTACCTGACTGGGAACTATCTCCAAACTGTCTATAAGAATGACCTCTCAGAATACAGTTCTTTGGATCTGTTGCATCTCGGGAATAACAGGATCGCTGTCATCCAGGAAGGTGCCTTCACGAACCTGACCAGTTTGCGCAGGCTCTACCTGAATGGCAATTACCTTGAAGTGCTGTACCCGTCCATGTTCGAGGGGCTGCGGAGCCTGCAGTATCTCTACCTAGAGTACAACGTCATTAAGGAAATCAAGCCGCTGACCTTTGATGCTTTGATTAACCTCCAGCTGCTCTTTCTGAACAACAACCTGCTCCGGTCCTTACCTGATAACATCTTTGGGGGCACAGCCCTCACCAGGCTGAACCTGAGAAACAACCACTTTTCTCACCTGCCCGTGAAAGGGGTTCTGGACCAGCTGCCGGCTTTTATCCAGATCGACCTGCAAGAGAACCCTTGGGACTGCACCTGTGACATCATGGGGCTCAAGGACTGGACAGAGCACGCCAACTCCCCCGTCATCATCAACGAGGTGACCTGTGAGTCCCCAGCTAAGCACGCGGGGGAGATACTGAAGTTTCTGGGGAGGGAGGCCATCTGTCCAGACAGCCCCAACCTGTCAGACGGAACCCTTCTGTCGGTGAACCACAACACTGACACACCCGGGGCGCTGAGCGTGTCCCCCAGTTCCTACCCTGAGCTGCACACGGAAGTGCCCCTTTCTGTCTTAATCTTAGGGTTGCTTGTTGTCTTTATCTTATCAGTCTGCTTTGGGGCCGGCTTATTTGTCTTCGTCTTGAAACGCCGGAAGGGGGTGCCGAGCGTTCCCCGCAGTGCCACCAACTTAGACGTCAGCTCCTTCCAGTTACAGTATGGGTCCTACAACACGGACGCTCAGGACAAAACAGACGGCCATGTCTACAACTACATCCCGCCTCCCGTGGGCCAGATGTGCCAGAATCCCATCTACATGCAGAAGGAGGGAGACCCAGTAGCCTACTACCGTAACCTGCCGGAGTTCAGCTACGGCAACCTGGAGGAGAAGAAGGAGGAGCCGGCGCCCCTGGCTTACACCATCAGTGCCACTGAGTTGCTCGAGAAGCAGGCCGCACCCCGAGAGCCCGAGCTGCTCTACCAGAATATTGCGGAGCGCGTCAAGGAGTTGCCCCGTGCGGGTCTGGCCCACTACAACTTTTGTACCTTACCTAAAAGGCAGTTTGCCCCTTCCTATGAATCTCGACGCCAAAACCAAGACAGAATCAATAAGACCGTTTTATATGGGACTCCCAGGAAATGCTTTGTGGGGCAGTCAAAGCCCGACCACCCTTTACTGCAAGCTAAGCCGCAGTCAGAACCAGACTACCTCGAAGTTCTGGAAAAACAAACTGCGATCAGTCAGCTGTGAAGGGCAATGGCTCACGAGGCCCTGGCGTCCGAGGTTGCTGCTCCAGGCTCCGCTAGAACTGCTGGAAGCACTGGTTTGCCTTTGCTTTCACTCGCCTTCTCCCTTTCCCAGAGTCGGGTGGGGCGGCTTTGACCAGGCTTGGGGGTGGGGGCGAAGCCGCGACACTGCTTCCTCAAGATGTCCTTTAAATTATTTCTCTCTTACCCTCCCCCCCCCCCCCCCCCGCCCCGCCCCGCCCTGCCTCTATCCCTTCTCTTAGGCATCATCCTGGAACGTGAATGTGTCTACAATGCTTTTTTTAGTTTTCATGTGCTTTGTTCATGGTTCTGTTTCTCTCTTATTTTTCCAGTGTGGGAATGGAAAGAGGAGATTATAGTGAATGAAGAAAGAGTAAGCAAACTTTTCAAGTGAAAATGGCTAGAGTGTATTTTGTAGAAGATCTCCAAAGATCTTTTGAGACTATCAATTCTTTTGTAAATAATGATACATGGTATTTCCGTCTTCAGTTACCAAGTACAGCCACTAAGCATCACTTCTTTGTGTTAAAGTGCCTTTGCACTTGAACTACATTACTTAAATGTTGCTTTTAGCTTTGATAAATTGAACATATTTTAATGTGTTGTATTTTTGAAATTAAAACAGTGTAAAATAGATTGAAATGTCAGCTATATAAAGTCAACGTACCGTTTGCTTGAGTTATAGAAACCAGCCTGTCATCAAATGATTCTAGTTCTAGGACTTTATAGATTTAACTGTAAAATACTTCCTGCGGGTTTGTTCTGAGTGATTTTATTTAAGTCAACTAAGGGGACTTAACAGTGGACTAGAGGTAATAATCCACTTCAGCTGGGATTAGTAATTCATTAATAAAATATATTTAACCCAATACCAGAGTGAACTGAACAGTTAATGCCCTCCCGTAAATCATTATTTGACACTAACATACTCAGTGTTTTAGATTATTTTCCTAATTCAGAGTACATTACACAACTTGTAATATATTTTTTCTGCATTAAATTAGATATTTTTCTATATTTTAATGAAAGAGTCTGTATTTCTAACTTTTTAATTGAAATTACTATTTTTTCTGCCGATTGAAACATTTTCTACAAACACACGCCAGTAGAGGCCGCCACACACCTCATTTAATACAGACATCTGAGCCATTCGGTACCTTGGAGGCTGACTTCAGACGTGAGCGTAAACCCCCCAAGTAAACCCTGTGCAGATTCAAGGCACTGCAGCCAAATGTCTACTTACTTTCTATTTCTTTTAGGATTAAAGGGTAGACTCTGCGTCCTTGTCGGTGTTCACGTTTTCAGAGGAAGTCGTGTTTTCCTCTTGATTTTCTCAAAGTGTTTACGGGGTGCTATCAAGCCACGTCCAATTTGCATGTCTAAGTCGATTCATCAGTACCGAAACCACAAAAGTGAGCTTTTGGTTTCTTCCTCTTCTGCCTCTTTCAGGCATCTGGGACTTGGGGTTTCCTTGTCAGCCTGAGCAGGCCTTTGGTTTGGTCTCAGCATTAATGTGATTTTTAACTAACCAAGTCTATCTCAAATTGATAAAGCCTTATTAGCCTGTAAATCATTTTTAGATGCAAACATTATTGTGTGATTTAAACAAACAGCCCTTCTTTCCAACAAAAAATAGTTTTGTTTTGTCTATTGTAAATCCTTATGCAAGTGGGGTGGTGATCTGCATATAAAGTAGTCCAGCTTTTCAGCTCCTTATTAAAGCAATTGATGGCGACTGAAAGAAACACACTGTTTCCTTTTCATAAATAGGTTACTGCACATAATAATCCTTTCTTATCATGTGGAGATTGAAGTGGATCCTGATAACTTACTTTGAAAGCTTTAAATGACTAATAGTATATTGCCCGTCAATCTAAACAATACCTGTGATGGGTTTTCAATTAGAAATTACTTAAATCCAAATTATTTGGATTAATGGTGACTGGTGCAAAGTCATTTATTTTCAAAACCATAGAAGATAATTGTGTATATATAAATTTAAAGGGCCTTCAGGGAATAAAATGCCCTTAGCGACCTAAAATCTCTGAACATCAACAGTGACAAGCTACCATGTTCATTCTTTGATCAGAGATCATAATTGCTATTGAAATCCATTGGATCAAAGTTGCAAACGGTGGGCTCAAATGACCTACAAGAAAGTTAACATGCAGAGAATTTACATTTCAGAGAAGAGGAGCTTAAATCCAGAGTGTTTTTGCTCATTGAATTTGAAGACGGCTCCTGGAATCCAGCCCCTCTTTGAGCGAAGTATACATACACAGGAGTTTCAAAAACCCTCTCGTGGCTGTTCTCATTTGGTGCAAGGATAAATACAGAAGACAGAGGTAGGTATTTTGGGAAGTAATTATCAAGGCGAAGTAGCACACATATACTAGTGAGATCGTTTGTAGGTTTAAATGACGTGGCTTGACCTACTGATGTGATTCTGCTCCAGTGTTTGTTCACATTATCCCGCAACTAGTCATCCCCGTAAAATGCCATCGTCTTGAAAAAACTCACCCATTCATCTTAAATGGGGATGCCTTACTATTCCTTTCGTTACATGCATTGAAGAGGCCTCCTGGAAAAATTCAGAGACTCTCTGGTCTAAAATTATGGCTTCCTTCTAGAGTCTCACGCTTCTTAGATTTGTGCTTTATTTGCATTGGAATTCTCATTCGATTGTGGTTCAGACTTTTAAATTCCATTTAAAATCACGATGCACCATATACTCGGAAGCTTTATTTTCTAATGCAATCACAAACGCTTTAAGTTCTATTAATGTATTAGCATCCCCACTGACTGTATTGTTTGGTTTTATTCACTCAAGGGATTTCAAACATTTTATTTTAGGACTTTTATTTTTATCTCCTACAGCTGGCTTTTGCTATTTCACATTTATTTCACATGTACCTTGTAATGGGTTTGAGTTTCAGCACAGAGAAATGGTTCCAGTCAACAGAGCACACGCTTCCCTGTCCCACAAATGGCAAGTGGTCAGCCCTTTCGACTCTAGTAGCTCTTAAATAGTAGCTTTCACTGTTGCCAAATTGAAAGGTCGTTTGCGCCATGTTGAAATGCTCTAAGCTAACACTTCTTGGTCTGGACATGACTGCCAAGAGTTTAATTTGGCTCTGGACTTTGGTGAACCTGTGTGCCCTGTCCCTTCCTTCAAGCAGTTGGTGAGTAAGGACAGCACCCATCAGTGTCCCCTAATTTGTCCTCTGACCTCTTAGTCAATTTAATCATTGGAAATATTTCCATGTCATCAAGGGCTCAACATTTCAAGGATTTTGTAAGTGTATAAGGAATGAGAGAGAGGTGCTGTGATTTCTCAGACTCTAGAAATTCATTTCAGTTGTACACATTCCAGAAACATGCTGGATTGGATGTTAAGAAAGCCTTCCAGATAAACCTCCCAACCTGATCATTCCTCTGTTCACTCACTCATTCCTTCAGTAAATATTTACCGAGTGCTTGCTTCCTGGGTGCCGGGCTCTGTGCTGAGGGACTCAAATTTTTGACACCGCAGACGGGATCTCTGTCCCACTCCTTCGCCCCCATGCCTGGCAGGGCATTTAGTGCTAAACTAAACTGAACTGAACGAGTCTGCCGTAGAAACAGTAATGCAACACAGGAGTTGAGTGTTAGGGTGATTCTGTACAGGGAAGCCCACAGAGTATTACTGGAGTAGCTACAGTGTAGTGTGGAGCCATCACTCACCTCTCTTTAGAAGTACACAGCTAAAAAGGAAAGCATCCTATAAGACTAAAATGAATTTCCACAGAACGGGATAGGGCCCAATATTCCCGCCGGAAGTTACTTCTACATAGCAAAGATGAGTCCCCAAACTGTAAATACGAAATCACAAATGTACTGAAAGTTTCTAAATATTCATGTTTTGGAGACAATATTTACTTTCTATCTCCATGACTTGCAAGAAAACACTTTGACTACAGTGTCTTTTACCAACACCACCAGACACCTAGATTCGAGAGAGCAAAGTAAGAACTGTATCTAGGTGTGCGCTTCGCTTCTCACCGTGATTGTGCAACAAAGGTCACGTGGCAACTGGAATCTTGCCAATCAAATTGTATTTCAAATGCAGTAGGGGAGCTGCCATTTAGAGGGAACTTGTGACCCTTTTATAAAACAAAACCATTTTATAATACAAATACTCACTCTAATTCATGTTTTGTATGTCTGGGTTTTCAATATCTACTTCGCTTAGAACAGAGCGTACCTGTACAGTGAGTGTGCTCTGTCACTGCTGCTTGTGCCACCAGTTTCTTGGCTGCTCAGGGCTCCTACTTGAAAATCTGCTGTAGCTGTGCGTGAACTGAGCTATCAGCGATTCCGTGATGGCACAGGAGCGTTCCTGAGCAGTCCAAGTGGCCCACCCACCCGTTTCAACCCCATTGGACACTGGACCTGTTCTGCTCAGCAGCGGCTCCTTCCGGTGTGGCCACGTTTCCTTAGAGGGTGGAGTGACCCCTGTTTTCACATCCTCTAAAGTGCTTAGAGTCCCAAGTTTTATAATACATATATGTTATTATGTAAACATATCGAATTGCATGTGTGTTGGAATTTTTTAGCAGAATTTTAGCTTGAAAGTACTTGTACAAACACTGTTAGATTTAGTTGCAAATAATTGTTCTCAAGTTATTGGAATAAATGGCAAATGAAACAAGTTCTGGTGTAAATAGACTTCTGTGCCAAATAGTGACATTATTTCAAAAAAGAAAAGTCATATCTTGGGCTGTTAATAGGCAAAATCGAACCACTAGAAATGTGAATGAATGATGCCGTGTTCTCTTGGATGAACTGTTTACTGATTCCATGCTGTAGTTAGTTTTCAATTAATAAATAAAAGATCACTAAAAATGAACATTTGAATTAGTTAGAGAACTTCTTCAGAATTAGAAGAGGAATTAATGACAAAGTCTTAGTGCAACCGTCTTCTTTGCCCTGATTTATTCTGCTTCAGTGTTTGTAAATTAAGCTCTTCTATTTTTTATGACTGTAATTTACATTCAAAAGGGTAAAATGAGTTTTCTAAAGACATGTTGACAGTTTTCCATGAATTTCCATTAGTATCAGATGAAATATCAAAAGTAAAATGAACAAACAAAAGGAATTCAAACACAGATGCCTCTGGACTGGCCTTCCACTCCCTACACCGTGACACACGCCAACCCACACCAGGTCCAACCAGACTTCACTGCAAAATGCTAACATCATACATGAGTTGCTGAATTTTTATTTGGTAAGAGACAGGTCATGATGCAAATTCAAGGACTAGAAATTCTTAATTTCATTAGTGGAGATGTTGCCACAATAGTTCCAACGACTAGAGTTAAAAAAAATAGCAAGAGAAAGCTGCATTGCTGTAACTACGGTGATAGCTTAGCACAGTTACTTCCTTGGCTACTTGCATTTGGTTAAAGATCAGAATATATTTACCAGCTAACCTCCTCTCACAAATGTATAAACAACAAAGGACTTGAGATTCCTGGGGTGCACATGAGGGCCTAAAACAAATGATCTCTGGAGATTATTAGTTTCCTCTATGCACAACAGTTTATCAGGTAGTGCTCATTGGGTACAGAGGGAACTGGAACTGACCCATATTTTAAAGTGCTTTGTTGGAGAATGAGAGGTGGCGCTTAGTACACCACATTGTCTGGTGCTTTAAAAAGATTAGCTGGAGTGCAGTGGGAACACAGGTGATGTTCAGTGATCTATTCTGAGCACGTGAAAGAAATCAACACGCCACACGTCTGTTGGTACTGGACAAAGGCCATCAGCATAGATGTAATCCCATAATAGGCACTAGAAATGCATCTCATCTATGTTTCACCGAGTAACACTTTCTTTGTTTTTTACTAATTTGATTTCCAAATACTACTTTATGTTTGCTATCAACATTACCCTTACAAGAAGCACTTGAGCTAATTATCTGTCAGATCAAGTTGCTGGGCATTTCTGGACATACTTGATCTTGACAGAATGTTGACTGCAGCATGAAACACAAGTACTTCTCAGCACACAAGGCAGACAGGGCCAATGAGTGGAGCTTGCACTGGATGACCTTGACCACACCCTTTCTCCTTCATATCATTAACACCTGACAGTGTTTTGAAATAGAATAAGTTTCCGATAAATATTTTCCTCATGAATAGAATGAATGAATGAATACAAAAGACTGGCTCTCAGGTGAACCCTGACCTGATGAAAGGGTTGAAAACTGGAGGATTCAGAAGCATAATTACAATGGATTTTTAGCTGTTCCAGGAAGTCTTAAACATTGAAACATGGTCAGAGCTTATCAGAAACACACACCAGGAGGATGGCAGAAAAGGTAACACACCACCAAGATCCTTATCGCACACAGGCAGGCCAGGTTTTGAGTGATACTTAGGTCAATCTGTTGAACCCACTGACCTCATTCTAGAGTGGAAAGTAACATTACCGCTGAGCTTTGAGATTGCTCTGTTAGTGGCTTTTGGAATCAGGAGATTCTGATTCGAGAGCAAATGCACTCCTGACAAGCCTGAATGATGAACTCCTCCAGAGCTTATCATGTAGCTCTTCTCATGGCTCTGTGTATCTGATTGGTTTGCTCCTTTATCTTCCAGACAGGAGAAAAAGTCTTTGGGCTAGAGAACAGATTCAATCACATTTCTGTCAGAATGTGGTTGTCTCATAAAGTGTGGTTTACACGAAATAAGCCTCAGAGGGTGTGTCATAGTGAAGCATGCTGGGTCTAAGTTTCTGATCTTTGTGCAGCTAAAAGCTTTGAGAGGACAGCTGACACTGGGCCTCAGCTTCCCCACCTGGACTGGTCTGATGGCGTGGATGAACCACCTGGACACATCCATTCATACCACCTTATGGTTCTTTTACTTGAGAGTAGTTGCCCCACACAAAATGATTGATTCAGGTGACCGAAGCTGGGTCATCTCTCATCCTTCGCACCTTCTCGTTTGGGCAGGGCCTTGCTCTGTTTTCTCAGAGGATTCACATGCAACTCCCGTCTTGGGCTAATTTCTTCTGTAAACTTGAAATCGCTTTTCTTCCGTCTTTGAAATCACAATGTCCTACTGCCTTGTTTGGGTGCTAGTGGTGGGCAGGGGCAGCGATGGGTCTTCATTGATCTGCCTTCACAGGGACTTGCCCAAGGGCTTGATGAGATCAGTTATTCTGTGTGATAATTAAGAAAGTTGTGTGATAATTAAGAAAGTTAAACTGTGAGTCTACATGCTCACCTTTCAGGATGAAGCATTTTCTCCAGTTAGCTGTTCATTACCCCATTGATGCCAATACACTGTCAAGTGTCTTATCATCAGGGAAACTGGTGGACCCTCGAACAACTCAGTTGAGCTTCAGAAAGTCAATGACTCATTTTAGTGACAAGTAGTGTTGTGCCTCATCTTGTTCATAAACTTCAGCCATAGTTTTACTGTTCGGCCCATGTGTTTTTATACGGTCAAACAGATTTTAATTGGAACCAAAGAAATGAAGGCCTTTGCAATATTCAGTTGACATGATCTTTTGCAAGAGTGGAAAAGAGGAAAAAAATCCACTCAAAAACTTTCTCTATTTTCCAGAGATTTCTGAGGGGCTTATTAAAAGAATTAGCGAATGAAAGAAAAATCCAGCTAAACTTTGCTGTGCCTTTTCATCTGTCATGTTACAAAAGGTTATGAAAAAGGAAATGTAAGATATCCTTGTCCAAGCCATCATCTTGAAATATAAATAGGATGCCACTGAGATGCTAAAGACCTAGAATATGATTACATTTCAGTGTTTGACTTGACATTTTGGAATGAAATGTATTTCATTTACTAAACTGATTTCTGAAAAGCAAATACATTTTAAGCAATAATCTAGGTAATTTGGGCAAGAGACACTTTGAAGGAATCTCAGTATTAAATGACATTTATTGAGATTTCATTTTGTGCAAATTCATCAGAAAGTTGTTCAGTTCCACTAGGCCAACAGCTCAAGTGTTCTGAAATTAAAAAAAAAAAAGCTAATTCTTTTGCTCTTACAGAGCAAAACTGTGTTGTTGCAGTTGATTGGTTTTTTTTTTTAATATTTACATATGCATATAGAGCTGGGGTAGAGGCCAGAGGTGCAGGGGCGGTGAGAGGCTTCACCAGAGACAGAGTGGGGAGCAGAACAGGCAGATTGACAAAGAACACTGCTGAGGGGAGTAGCGGGTGGGTCAGGAGAGGTCTGCCACACCATGTGGTCACCTCCGGGGCAGGCGGGGATCGAACTCATGCGGAGGTGGCTTTAGCTTCTCAGTGCTGTGCTTTAACCCGCTGCACCACTAGGGAAGGCCCTCAGTTGATTAGTTTTCAAGTAGACTTTCTGAGTTTCTTTCTAGGACAACTCAGAGTCAACGATAGATAATTGTTCAAAGACAAAGTCTTAGTGAAGAAAGGGGTAAACATAATTTGTCAAATGATTCGTAACAGCAAGCCACGGAGTAGGCAGCTTCATGAGATCCTCTTGCCTAGCCTCTCCCAAGACAAATCTTTCCCTAACCTTCATCCCTGATAAGGGGGGAAATATTTCCCTGCTCAGGAAATATCTTGATGTCATTGGGTTCACTTTGGTTGATCATTCACACTGATTCCTTCAGATCTGCTGCTTGATATTTGAGGACAGTGGGATGATGATTCTACATGCAGCAAGGCATCCTGGGAGTTAGCCTGGGTCTCTGCTCACTGACGGTGTGACAGTGGCTCCTTTGCTACCCATCTCTGAGCCTCAATTTCCTCACCTGACAAAGAAAGTAATTAAAGTTGGCCTTCCCAATCCAGAAAGCAATTGAATAAAAATAAGCTTATTAGAGATAAATACAGAATCTGCTTCAATTCATAAAAAACAGCAAATCATTTGCAAACTTGACATGTTAACTATCATTAGCAACAAATTAATTTCTATACCTCACACCTGTTCTGTGACACACCAGTGAAATTCTATTGTTCCTTTCAGCTTAAAAGAAAACAAAAAGTCTCATATTTTTTCCCCTAAACATTATAATGGTATAAATCATTTACACAAAAAGCATGAGTAATTTCTGGTATTCCTTCTGTGATAACAGATTGTCTCTAAAAATACAATTTCTGGAGTTCTCTTTGTGTTCTGAACGCCCAAGCAGATGCTGTGTACATCTCGAACTCCCACATGCGCTCCTGAAGGTCCGGTGTGTGCCCAGCACGAGGGCGAGAGGGGCAGCTAGCCGCAGTCCCCGAGGCAAGGATCGGCTGTGTGTTGGGGAGACATGACAGGACAGTCAGAATAAGACCTGGCGCCACTCTTCCAGTATCTGCAACCAAATCTGGAAGGTGATGGGTCGGGTCAGAAAAGGAAAAATCAATTCAGACGAGATTCTCTGGGACATTCTCTGTGGGGGGCCACTAAAAATCAGGGAAAAGTCGGGAGAACCAGGCAGCTCAGGAATATAAAGTCAGAAAGAGTAAGTGTCTGAAGAATGGTGAATGGAAGGGCTGGCTTTACTTTCAATGACTTTGAAAGGCAGGAGAAGAAATCTAGGCAGGATGTTATAAATAACGAAAGGTCCCTCAGGCAAAGGAAAGTGGTGCAGCTGTCAATATTTGTATTGAACGTAGTGTTTCACACACATTTCTAAGGTTCATCCCAGGAACAACCATTTGATTTGCTTGCATCTGGTGACAATGAGGTAACTGGTGGAGGGGTTTGGTGCGGGCCCACTCGACCCCGAGAGGAAGAAGAGAGGCCCCTGGGTGAAGGGATCAGCAGAGACCTCTCAAGAGCAGACACTCTGCAGCCAGTTG